AACTGCAGCTCAATCCGCAGTCAGTGATGACCAGTCAGGGACCGGTCAGCCCTCAAGTGGAGCAACAGCTACAACAACAACAGATACTTATCCAACAACAGCAACAGTTCCTTCAGATACAGATCGAACAGCAAAAGCTCCAAAAACAGATGACAGAACAGTTGTCTATTAGGCAACAACAGGAGGCCGACAAACAGCTGCACCAGAAGCAGCTGATCCAGAAACAGGAACCAGTGGTCAGTCAACCCATAGCACCGCCGCCTCAGCAACAGCTTCAGCAACAACAACCACAGGCGCCACAGCATCCGTTACCACAGCATCCGCTTCCCACTAAACCCGAAGTCATGAAACAAGACAAAAATGTGTCCACTTCCACACCACCATCCATGTCGTCGACGCCCACATCCACAGCAAACAAACAGATGGGCACAGAGGGGGCGGCGGTTGGGGTGAAGAATCCTGAGCTCGCGGGACAAAGCAGCGGCACCGGCATCGGTCCCATCGCCGCCCAAAGAAAGTCATTGCACCGCCGATTACCGCATCCGACCACCGAAGAGATGCAAACGGCGGTTCAAACGCTGGCCGCCGCTCACAGCGGTTCCCAACAACACCGATCGGTGCCCACTGTTCCGCAGCAGTCAATGCCAATGCCGGTTGTGTCCACTCAACGATCCGTATCACCCATTATGCCTCGCAAAACACAGTCCAGTGTTATCTCATCCCAGGTCTGTATTTAGCATTACTTTTATAATAATTTATTTAATACAAACAGAAATTACTTAAAAATTCAATTCATTTTACTCGTTATAAAATTAATGTTTACTATTAATAGACACAATTTCTATATTTATTATTAGAAATTTATTAGAAACCTTTATTAGGCACATTTATTACAGTTAAAATTTAATCTACTGTAGATTAAAAATATGTTATTGATTTTATGACAAACAATTTATTCAATGATAATTTGATTAAATTGAAAATTTTAATACCAATAATAAAAGTGAATGAATATGTGATAAATGGTATTATTATTATTTGCAGACAATTCTCAATCCGAGCACAAGACGAACAAACCTATCGACGGCAACTGTGCCGACGAGTGCCATCACAACACTGGTCTCATCTGCAATCATGCCCTCGACATCCATCTACGACCGCATCAGTCAATCGCCCTATGCTTTAGGCCAGTCTGTGGTCCGCTCCCACACACCCGTCACGACTGGCGGCGACTTTTCCGACTCCCAGAGCGACGCGTCCGGCGATAAAGGGAAGCGACGAAAACTGCCATCAGTTCCCTTCGATGAGGAGCCCATCTCTCCGGTGATGGCCACCAGAAAACTGATCAAAGATAGACTCGCCGGTCAGTTGTCCCTTCATTTGTATAATTAATTTACTTAACACTTAACTTATAACATACATATGTATACCGATAGGTCGACCGGCCATCTCCTCGACATCGATAGCGTCGAAACGCATTCCTCCACTGCGTTCGTCGTCTTCATTGGACGGAACCGTTATGGGACTGACGGCTGGGTATCGGCCGCAGTCGCCCTTCTCGTCCACGTCGGACATCACCCAATTCCTGGCCTCCACTTACGGCCAATCGGTGTTCAAGAGCTCCATCGGTAACATCCGATCGCCGGCCCGATCGCCGATACCTCCCGGCGAGAATCAGATTAGCCGTCAATTGCATACCTCTCACTCCGTGTCGTCCCTCACGTCTCCCACAAGATTTCCCTCATATATGAAGAATTTGAAGCAACAGTTATGGGAAGAGTTAAAGACAGCGACCGAAGAGAAGCACCGACTCATGAATCTAAGGGATAGGGATAAGGATTTTTACCGTCGGTCCGAAACCGATTTGCAGGATCTCTTTGACGTCTACTCGTCGCCCGTCCGCCGAAGGCGTGGCCGATATAAGTCGAAGAATGAATCCGATTCTCGTATCTATCGTTCACTTTCGGCCACCAGAGACGACATGCCGTTCAAGTCGTATGAGTACGAGTCACTGCACCCGACGAGTACTGGCATTGAACTCAACTATAGAGGCCAAAGAGCC